CATGCATGTCAGGCCAAATGAAAAAATAATTTCCAGTTACCAGAACTTGCTTAGATTTTTCAGGCCGGCCCTGTATCTTTTTATGGTAAAATGGAAAATGGGCACTTGTAGGTACACCTTTCTGCTTCATTTTTGCATTTTGGTATATTATTGAAAAATACTCTTATACCTATAACAGTATGGCCCAAGCAGCACTACAGAGCAATAAATTGAGAAAAATTAATTAATTTTCTTAAAATAAAGTTATGATTAAATATAAGGTAATTTCTACCTATGTACCCTTCTTTTGTTTTCCCCGTTACCAGAAACCCACTATGAATTCTATTTCACCGTGATCGCAAACACCAGTGAATTTAAACTTTCAATATTTTTTGGCTGAGCCGCATCTTCAAAAATCAAAATAACTTGACCTAGATCCACTAATTTCAAGAAACTTTCTCTGAGACAATAATAAAACATTGTTACACAATTTATATTGAACCAATAGCAGTAACAGAAAGCATTCTTCTTTCTTATAGCTCAAGATTCTGTCTCTAGTTAAAATATATATTCTCAACCCAAAACATCCCATGAAAACAGTGTGCCCTCCAAACTGATTAATGATTCTGTTTTGGCTTAGGACTCAGAGTCACTCCTACAAAATCAATCCTGTTAGAGGAAAATGTGCAAGACATTATTTCATCTGAATTATATCATAGTCATGTTGCTGATACATTTTTTTTTTCTGTTTTTAGGTTCCAGAACAAACTGTGTCACTTGAACAGAAGGTTCCTAGTCTGAAAAGAAAAATTTTAGATATGTTGGGACTCACAGGAAAAATGAGGCACAATAGATTTGTAAGTTTCTTGGTGGTTTCAAAAAAAGGAACAATTTTGCAAAATAACAAGTTGCCATAAAATTTCTTGAAACTGATTAGCAGAATACATTATAATAGGGTTAGACACTTTCTTATATTACTGTTAATATCACTTTTTGTCTTCAAAGCCAAAATCTGCCAAACAGCAATGAAATAGCAAGACAATATTCTCTCTCCTAGATAGAAATTAAAAATGATTTCCACAATTTTTTTTTTTTACAGAAAATGAGAATAACTGGTTTACGTATATATACAAGTTGCGTTAGTAATATTGATATTCAGACGTTCATTAAAGGTAGGTATAAAAATACAATTTAGTTTGAGATTTAAATCACAAACCTCAATTATCTGAACCCCTGTGGCTTGGTTAATTAATAAATCAAATAAATATTATTATTATACATCTGTCACCATAACGTCATAAGTTACAGCCTGCCGTAATTTTGCAGTATTTTACGGGGTATTTTCATCCTACCATATTAGGAAATGCGAATTCCAAATATGAAATAAGTGTCCTCTAATAATAAAAACAAACATGGCTGCCACTAGGGTTTGACCAGACTCCAAACAAAAAAGTTCCCTGATTCTGTTATAATTTTTGGATTTCCCATGATGTATCCTTGGAAGGAAAAGATGTATAATAATAAGGTTATTATGAGGATACCTCAAAGTATGTATTCGGACAGTACACCGTTACATCAACCGCCGCTACCCGTCGGTCAATACTCCTGCTGTACTGGCTTTGTGCATACTTTGAGGTATCCTCGTAATAACCTCATAATATCACATTATATGTTCATGGTTCAATATGGACTTACTGGTGTACAAAGGCACCCCATTTGGTGGTACTATATACTAGTACATTGGAAACTGACAAAGATGCTTAAAATCAATTCCAAAATTATTTAATAGAAGTTTATCAATAAATACATGTATGTAACAGATTATACCGAAATCCCTGGAATAATTTTATTATCGTGCATCTCGTCAGACACGATGTGAAACCATTTTTACCATACAACAATGAACATAGATCTGAAAACAATTCACATATTCAAATCCAGATACAATAAAACCAGTTATTCGCACACAATGGCACAGATCAGTGCATACTAGTAGTACATCAGACAGCTGTCAATAGACTTTATTTGAATACGTGAACAGGTCAATAAGTGCCCATTATTTTTGTAATAGCGTCCTGGGTCAAAAACAAAATAGAAATAAAGAAACTGATCTAGAGGGCCTAAATCACAATAGAAAAGACCTATTTTTGAGAGAATGGTCTGATTTATATAAAATAAATAGCTTCCCAATGGAAATGCGCCCAAGGTGTAATTGTAATCATTTAATTTCTGTATATAGATTGTGTAAGGATTGAATTATGTGTGGAGTTACTTTTTAACAACTTCTTGTTTAATCATTACAGTTTGCAATCTGCCGGACACATTTTTTTCATGGTTCCTTATAACGCAGTTACATGTGTGGTAAGTCATAAGTACCATAGTTGTTGTTGAACATTAAAAAGGGATCAACTCGATCAACCTAATGAGGATGTCAAAATCCCTGGCTGAGATTTATTTACAAAAAAGATGTAGTTTTGAAGAAACCATATGTGTGTTTAATGTTATCTAAAACTGAAAAAAAACACTTGGAAAAAGTAGATGATATTATTGATAGAAGCCAATTCATTTAATTCTTATTTGCACATGAAATTATTATACATCTAACACTGAAAACAATAGAATTCACCCTGATTCTGTGAGAGAAAAAAGATATTTATTTGAAAACATATTCAAAACATCACAAATATTAACATGTTTAAGATTGTTAACAGGACATACACACACTTATCTTGTTAAGAGTGGAAGCTCCATAGAATGTGACAAAAATAGAATTCTGTCACTGAACGTTACTACAAGCAGGAAAAAACAAGCAACATAAGATTATCATGGAAACACCTCTTAAATAAAAATTATTCGCCCATTGATTTTGAAAAACAAATTGACCAATTCTTTTTTTGTTTGTTAAAGATATTGTTACTGCTTGAGTGGCATTGTCGATGATAAAAATTGACAAATCTTTTGATAAAAATCTATAATCAATATTTGAAATTGTCTGTTTGGTCCAAAATGATGTTGAAATTCAGTGACAAATTTACAAATTGTGAAAATATATGCACTGAAGTTGAGGCAGGAGAAATACGTGGCACTCAAACGACATTTAGCTTGTTCAGTATTGATTCCTTAAAAGTTACAGTGCATGTGCATCTTCTCAATGTGGTTTTTTTTAGGATGTGTATGGTGCGACT